TTTGGAAGTACATGGAACTATTCATCAAACCACTTATTCCAATATACCCCAGCAGAACGGGGTTGCAGAGCGAAAAAATTGCCACTTGTTAGAGGTTGTTCGTGTTTCATTGATAGAAGCTCATATGCTATTATCGTATTGGGGAGAAACACTTACCTCTGCAGCATATCTAATCAATCGAGTACCTTCCAGCTCTATTGACTTCCAGACACCATTGTAGGCTCTCACTGACGCAGTTGTTGCCCCAACCGTTCCAAATCTACCTCCTCATGTCTTTGGTTGTGTAGCATTTGTACACTTCCATAAACCTCAACGCAACAAGCTAACTCATCGAGCGTTACGCTGTGTTTTTCTTGGATATGCTACTCACCAAAAGGGATATCGCTGTTATCACCCTTCAACTCGACGAATGTTTATCACCATGGATGTTGTCTTTCATGAAGATTCGATATATTTTTCCTCTGTGTCTGAACTTCAGGGGGAGTACCAGAAAGAAATTCAGACTCTAGATTATGATTATCACACTTTTGAGGATGGCGATTCTAGTGGTGATGACTCACAGGTTGGACCAGCTAATCAGGAATCGGGTGAATTGGATTCGAGTGGTATAAGTTTGGATCAAAGTTGTGATGAACGCCCAGAAATAGAAGAAATAGAAAGTATGCCAACCCCACCGTCGTCCGAGTTTGAGTCCCTCGCAACTGATATATCAAACCAATCGCCTGCTGAGGATGTTCCTTATTTAGTGCCTGAGCCACTCCGAAAACAATTACCACAACGTCACACTAGAGGTATTCCTAAATCCACATATGAACCCGAACTTTCTAGTAAAGTTAAGTATCCCATGAGTCATTATGTGTCAAACCATCGTTTGTCAGAATCAAATTTGTCATTTGTAAATCAATTATCTACTGTATTTACTCCTAACACTGTGCAAGAAGCCTTAACTGACCCTAGGTGGAAAGCAACTATGAACGAGGAGATGATATCCTTACAGAAAAATAAAACTTGGGAACTCATTGATCATCCACCAGGAAAGAAACTAGTAGGATGTCGATGGATTTACACTGTGAAGTATAAAGCCGATAGCACAGTTGAACGCTTTAAAGCAAGATTGGTGACAAAAGGTTACACCCAAACCTATGGAATCGATTACACAGAGACATTCGCACCTGTAGCCAAAATCAACACAGTTCGTGTCTTGTTGTCTTTAGCTGCGAACTTGGATTGGCTATTGCAACAATTCGATGTGAAGAATGCCTTTCTACATGGTGAATTATCTGAAGAAGTCTACATGGATCTCCCACCAGGATGCATGATACCCGAAAAGTATAGTCAGAAAGTCTGCAGGTTAAAGAAATCATTATATGGGTTAAAACAATCTCCGAGAGCATGGTTTGGAAGATTCACAAAGTCAATGATAACCTTTGGCTACCGTCAGAGCAATTCAGACCATACGTTATTCCTGAAGAAACAACAGGGTAAGATCACTACACTCATTGCATATGTAGATGACATGGTAGTTACAGGGAATGATCCTGAAGAAATGAAGGCTCTCAAGAAGTATTTGTTCAAAGATTTCGAAATGAAAGATCTAGGTCCTTTAAGATATTTTCTTGGAATCGAAGTATCTCGATCTAATAAAAGAATCTTTCTATCTCAAAGAAAATATGCTTTAGATCTATTACAAGAGACTGGCATGACAGCATGTCAACCAGCTGAGACACCAGTGGAAGAAGGACTGAAGTTATGTGTTGAGTCTAACCAAGTACCTGCTAATAAAGGAAGATACCAAAGACTTGTAGGGAGATTGATGTATTTAGCACACACGAGACCGGATCTGGCTTATGCATTGAGCATTGTTGGCCAGTTTATGCATGATCCAGGAGAGCAACATATGAATGCAGTTATACGCATTTTGAGGTATCTGAAATCTGCTCCTGGAAAAGGAATTTTGTTCACTAAAAATGCTGGTTATCAAAACATAGATGCATATACTGATGCTGACTGAGCTGGAGCTATAGATGATAGTCGATCTACTTCTGGATACTTCACTTTTGTAGGAGGTAATCTTGTTACATGGAGAAGCAAGAAACAAAATGTTGTTGCTCGCTCGAGTGCCGAAGCTGAATTTAGAGGTATGGCGCTTGGACTTTGTGAAACTTTGTGGTTAAGACTTCTCTTGCGGGATTTGAATTATCTACCTGGGCAACCAATTAGACTATATTGTGACAATAAAGCAGCATGTGATATTGCTCATAATCCAGTTCAATATGATCGTACAAAGCATGTCGAAATAAACAGATTCTTCATTAAGGAAAAGTTGGATGGAAAAATTGTGGAGTTGCCTAAGATTCGATCGGAGGATCAACTAGCCGACATTCTCACCAAAGCAGTCTCAAATCAAGTGTTTTCAAAATTTTTAGACAAGTTGGGCATGTGTGACATCTATGCACCAACTTGAGGGGAAGTGTTGAGATTTTATTTTTTGTAATCCGAGATATACAGATTGTACAGCTGTAGGATTGCATTATTTTCTCCTTGATTTAAGGCTAATTGGTAGATAATTAGTTTCCCGATTATTGTATATTTAGTTACCTATTTTAGCTAGATATTACTCTATAAATTGAATGTAACACCATCGTGAATAATATTAAATTGAGTTTTGATTCTCATATTCTTTCCTTGAATTTCAAGACTTTGATATGTCTATGTGAAGCGCTCTTTGTTTCTTGTCATGTGGATTTTTTGCTCTTTGTTCAGGCTGCTTGTATAACTGGATCTATGTAAAATGTAGTCTTCTTTTTGTTTGCCAGTATAAAAAAAAAATAATAATAATAATAATAATAATAAATTGCCCTCACATGTACTTAAACCCTCAACTTTCTATTTAGATGTAGGACTGCAAATTAATCGAACTATTTATGAACAACTGAAGCTCGACTCGTCTATGGTTCAACTCAAACTCGTTTGTGTAGCATTCAAGCTAAGCTCAAGCTTGATTTTTAAGCTTCTTTAGTAAATGAGCCGATTCTGAACAATATTAAGTTCGACTCGTATATGTTTTTGAATATATAAGCTCATAAACACGTTAAAAAATATAAGTTTGTATAAGTTCGTGAACATAAGCTTGTGTAAGCTAAGAACAAGGGGAAAAGATTTTGAACACTGTAATAACCCACTCCACTACATGGTATGATATTGTCCGCTTTGGGCTCACAAGGTTTTGCACCTATAACTCGCCTAATGTGGTAGCCTGCCCACAAGTTCATCACAATCACCCCCCTTGGGGCCCAGCATCCTCGTTGGCCACATTTTCGGCTAGGTCAAGCTCTAATACCATTTGTAACGACCCACTCCACCACATGGTATAATATCATCTGCGTTGGGCCCGAGTTCGCACGGATTTGTTCTTAGGTTTTACCCCAAAAGGCCTCGTACCAATTGGGGTAGGGTGTGGCTCACTAAGGGTCCTTTTTTTTGTTTATTTATATTTATTTATTTATTTTTTTTACCATATAAATATAGGCAGGAAGGTTCTCATGTGGTGCAAAAGAACAGATTTTCTAGCGGACCAATAGTCAAATAGTCAATTACACGTTATTACTTTATCAGACCTAACCATAGTTAATATTTATTACCTTAATAGTCAATTTACCATAGTTACCTTAATAGTCCATTTACCTTAGTTTTCACCCATTACAATTTCTTTTAAATTTTATGCACAAATATAATTAAATATCCAATCTCATCATCCCAATTTTGGAAATATTTTATGGTATCAGAAAATCCACGTTCAAAATTTTAAAATATCTCAAAAACTATTTCTATTACTTAACTTCCCCCCCCCCCCCCCCCCCCCAAAACTTACCACTTCCAATTTAGATCGTCATTAACAAGAACTTTAATACTACATGTCTAGCAAATCATGGTACTACTTGCACAGGTATATCAAATCAAACCTTATTTATCAATTTGCAATGTAAATTGGAAACTCCTTCTCATGCCATTAATCTATCGTATGCTTCCAATATGCCAAATGGTTCCCTGTACTCTAGATACATGTGGGACAATTCTTAAATTAGTTTCCAAATGATGCTTAATTTCTAATCGAAAATAACTAAGATCGCATTGCTGGGTTAAAAGAACAAATTGAGAATGAAGTGTGATACATGTGGGACAATTCTTAAATTAGTTTCCAAATGATGCTTAATTTCTAATCGGAAATAACTAAGATCGCATTGCTGGGTTAAAAGAACAAATTGAGAATGAAGTGTGAAATAATTACTGAATAAGCTTTTTTCATGGGTTCAAAGGATACTAATTTTTTAGGGTTCGTGAATAAGCTTTTTTAATTTTTTTGCTCTTTTAATTTTTTTCTTTTCTATTTAAGGGGATTTTTTCATAAGCAATGATTACAAATTTATAAACAAATTGACTATTGGAGATTGTAAGGAAAATGGAAGAGATTAAGGAGGAGAGAGATTGAATAAAGATATTGACTAAATACGGTAAATTGACTATTAAGGTAACAATTATTAACTATGGTTAGGTCTGATAAAATATTATGTGTAATTGACTATTTGACCATTGATCCGCTAAAAAATCCATTCTTTTGGACTGCATGAGAGCTTTCCTATATATAATTTATAACATATTACTGTGTGCCACCCTAAAATACCCATGGGCTTGAAATTATTTATACATAGAAGTATATAAGTTGTAAATCATAACTTTGTGCCCCTGAAATAAAATCCAGGCTCCATCCCTGGAGGCGGGCTTGAGCCGAGTCCATAAATGAATGAGCCAAGTCCGAACATACTCAAGCTCGGCTTAGCTCGATTCATTTGGAGCCCAATTTGAAAGTACTGCTCCAAAATTTTGTGAAACCCTAAAAATGTGGCCTCTGTATAAATAATGTACTTGAAAACAGAAAATAAAAGATGCACAAAAATAGATATTGTAACAAACATCAATGTGATCAATGCAGAGAGACAAATTACACACAAAATTATATATATATAATCTGAGATCAAGTCAATTACAATTGCTAAATTAGTAGATAACAGTGTGTGAGAGAGAGTAATGAAAATCAAATTAAGACTACACTCAGTTCTCCACTTCTAGGTATGTGATGAATGTTGAGAAAGCAGAGCACAAGAGCCATGGTGAGAGTCCTCGCAGCCCAGCTCACGGCCTCGAAAACGGCATTGAACCGCCGTTCCTGCAGATCCCAAAGCGTCACCACACACTGTCCCAAACCATCCACCATCTTCGCCAACAATATCACCATATATATATATATATATATATATATATCACTCACCTTGAGCACAGAGAACCACCAAAATTCATCACCTCAGAAGAACAAAGAGAAAAGAAAAGGCAGAGACATGGTTTCTAAAGGGAGGAGTGATTGATTGCAGTTTGAATTTGGTTCATGTCATTGACAATCTTTTGGCAACTTGCAAATAAAAAAGACAGGAGGTTGCTTCCACGATGTTTCCTTTTTTTCTTTTTTACTTATTTATTTATTTGTATTTTCCTCAAAAGGGTATAAATTAAAAGAGCTTTTGAACATTCTTAGACTCGACTAGGCTCCTTTGTGTTCATCAATATAAGATCATGAAAATGTTAGTAAATATAGTCTTAAATAAATGCAACACAACTGCTACTGATTAGATCAAAATGCAATCGAGATGCAACAGTATAACAACTTTACTTCGGACATTTATGTAGTAACAAAATACATTATTGTTACGCTGAGAGAACGGAATTGGCATTTTGAATTTGAAATTAGAGAAAACAATGTCGATTTGATGCTCCCAAACATAGAAATGATTTGAATCCATACGGGTTTTTGAACTGATATTAGAAAATTCTTAGGTTAACTCGATCTAGACTGGCCAAAATAGTCAGATAGTTAGAATATAGGTAAATACCACCACCTCATGACTTCCCATGCCTCGACAATAAAGGGGTTCACAATCTTTTATGTTTGATTTTCTTTATCAAATTATATCCTCTTCATTGCGTGTAGAAAGATAACGTAAGAAGCAGTTCTACCATCTCTCCCCCTCTACAAATGTCTTCTAATCGAGTTCGGATCCTCTGATTTTGTACAAATTTTCAACGCACATAGGTCTTATTTCTAACACTAAATATATATTTTTCTAGATTTCAAATCATAGAATGAATGTGTGATACCATGATTTAAGTGTTCAAAAACTCTAAATTTAATGTTGAAAGATATTTCAATTCAGTCAAAACGTGTTTCTAACACAACATTTGTTGAGATTTGAAACAAATGTGTCTGAAACATAATTTCAGTGTGTTGGAAATTTAACAGCACGAGTGGATCTAAACACCTTCTAATCACCATCTAACAATTCTCTCTCTGTCTCTGTCTCTATCTCTCTCTCTCCATATATATATATAGTTAACTCAATTCTCCTCAAGTACCCCCCCCCCCCCCCCCCCCCCCCCCCCCCCAAAACAAAAAACCACACCACCCCCACCACCACAACAACAACAAAAAATCCGACAATTTGAGCCATTCCAAGGAAAAAATAAGAAATTTTATAACATGATAATAGTCCATTTTCGTTTTTCAGGGAAAGAACAATGGTGTGAAGGCCACAGAGATAGGTTTTCATGGAAATTTTATAACATGATATGACCCTTCAAGTACTCTTTCATTTGGCCTGGAGGTATAACCTCCCCTATCCTTAAAGAGGAGGGGAGGGGTTCGAGCCCTGACGTGGGCAAAATGGTGTGAATGTTTGCTTTACCATTCAAAAATATATACTCGTATATATATAAATGACCCTCCTGCAAATAAAGCATTGTTGACAGTAAGATTTTCCTTCTATTTTTTGTGTAATTCCACAGAATTTTGAAAAAAAAATTTGTTCTTCTGTGCAGCAACATAAAAGCACAAGAAAATTTTAATGCATCGGAGGACACACTAGTCTATAATATTGCCGGTTTGCAGCAATTGTAACAAGTCCATCGAAGTTCCATTCCGCATGAAGCTGCCCAATGCAGATGCAGCAAGGAATGCACAACCAAGTGGGATCATAAATTGAGGCAAAAATGTGAGACTACGAGCAACGACCAATAGTAGTTGCCCTAGATTTCATTTTAATGAAGATAAAAGGACACATGAAGGAACAAAAATGTGGCTGCAAATAACAATCAGGTAATGGGTGGGGTATACAAAATCCCAAGGTAAAGCTATGACAAACTGGTATGGATAGTTGGATGGCGATCACATTAGAAAACCATCAGTTCAAACAACCACAAAGTACTTCATATTATAGCCCCAAATATCTTAGCGACCTCGTTGTTTTACCTGCATATCTCTGGCAATAGAAGGTAGCCATCTTTCCCCTCGGATTCTTTTCAGTTCCGCTACTCTCTCTTCCTCTCTCTTGGCAGCTGCTTTAGCAGCTGCATCTTTGGCTTCTATTCTGGCTAAAGATTTCTGGCATGCATCTCTTGCTGCGGCTATAATGTCCGTCCCATCAACCGCAACAGATTGAAGTTGCCGTCTAAACTGTGAGGCATTAATTAGGCAAAAACAGATAAAATTAAAAAGATTAAGATTGTACAGTAAATAATGAATCAATAATAAATAATGAAGAAAGCATAGGTGGAAAAGTAACCTTCTTTGATTTCTCATCAATCTCTTCAATTGGAGGGATTCTTGGTCTCTTCGTTGGTCGTTGAAGTTCATCTGGCATGCATTTAACTTTTTACTACCTAAATAAAACTTGGCAACAGTGGATATGGAAATGCAGCACAAGTTCAACGTCAAAGAATGGCCATTCTATCTCATGCTTCTTTAAACTCGGTCTTACAGGACTTTGAAGGATATTTTAAAATTGAGTGGCGAGCGCACAAGTCTATAATCTTCTAGTTACTAACATGTTTGATTGTATCTGAAACATTTACCAAAGATAAAATTCACCATTTGGTGGACATTGTTCTACATCTGAAACATTTATGACAGATATAATCCACTAATTGGTGAATGAAGTTCTGCATGACCGGTCCTCTTTGGCTTAGGTCAACCCTTAGGTCAGGAATTAGAGGATTGGTAGAGAGAGAAGAGAGAATGAGGTTCTGGATTTCTGCATGTGTGTCTTTTGCACAGAAACTGTGCTTGAGCGCACAAACTGTTTCATCAAGATGTCACATTCTGTATGTGGCAGCAAAACTTGGCTAGGAGCCAATTTGAGCTCAAGCATGTCACTTCTAATCAATTACTAGAAGCCATGTCTTGATTTAAAGCTCCTTACGGCAGTACCGCATATATATAGATAATCAAGCTTCATCAATTTATTATAACCTGAAAACTACCATTTATTATTTTAATTATAACATGCTAGTTGTCACAATCAGTGTTATCAAAGGCCCAAGGCGCACTAAGGCGCTAGAGGTCCTTTGGGCCTAGGCACAAGGCGAGGCGCGCGCGCGCGCCTGAGGGAAGTGAGGCGCACAATTCAAAAATTAAATTACTATTAAAGCATATTCATATTCCATATTAAAGGTGCAAATGTTGTCAAAGGCGCATCTGGGCACACACCAGGGGCAACACTTGCGCCAGTATGAGCCTGGAGCCTAGGCACACCTTTAACAACACTGGTTACAATGTAGCAGAAAATCAAGTAAATTAGTTGCAGTTATACATGCCCCATCTGCCCAACCGTAAGAAAGCTGTAGGTTGAACAATATGCCTGCTAAGCAATTGACCTAGTCGGGCTACACAGTGACCTAGCTCCTAGCAGCAACATTTAAATAATGCAAGTACCAAACTTTTTTTAATTGTAGGTTAATAGATGTAAATTATTATAGGGAGACTCACTTACCTACATGATCAAACACTATTCCAGGGGGAGCATGTTTAAATAACCGAACTCCACATTCACTTATCATTGGATCACTATGTGGGATATCAGCAGGATCTCTCACCACTTCTATGGTCTTCTCTAAGATGCCATCCAGAAGCTTTTGTGCCTGTCATGAAGTTCATTTATCCAACCATTACCACACAAAGAGAAAGGACAACAAAAGAGTCCAAACACCAAAAAACATAAATGGCAGCAATAGGGGCTGGGAGGAACATGCGCAATTATGCATTCTCTCTACCTGATCTAAATATCCGTGTTTGAACCACTTCCTCTAAATAACAGCCATAAACATTCCAGTTAAAAAACCCTTGCTCACTGCATTCTTCTCCCCATATAAAGTTTCCAATTCATTATAAAAAGAATGGCCTATATATCACTAAACACGTGATGGAACACATCATCAACCAATTATTATTATTATTTTTTCTTTTACCAATTCTTCCTTTTCTTCAAAATCTTCACCTTTTCAGGCCTATCCCCATCGAGGTGAAAACAAAATTAATGTAGAACACCTTCCATTTAGCTTTTTATTTTTTCGAATTGAGCTGCACTCTCCATATGTACACACGACCACCAAAATGTAGAAACCGAATTCGTAATACCTTTTCATTGGAATCCAGTGTAATCTGGACTACGTACAAACTACAAACTAAAGAAAATAAAACCCGAAAGATGACATGGGAGTTGCCAAGACGAACAGAAAAAAGATCAGGTAGACAGATTCATCAACAAATCAAGCCAACAAAAAGAGAATGACCATATCACTCTGATCTTATAAGAACTCCTCCAAAGAATAGATACCATTACAATCCAATCAAAATTCCTGGTATAAACTATAAAGAAATAGTTACACTCAATTCTCATGTTATTGGCTGTTAAAACCACATTCATCAAACCCAAGTTATCTAGAAATAAATAAAATAAAATAAATTTCGACAAAGTGAGAGCTGAAGAAACCTCTAGCTCCAATCTCTCAAAATTCAAATTGATATAATCAAATTTGCTCCAAATAAACTTCCCTCTGATCTTGAATGTTTTTAGAAAAAAGGGAAACAAAGTACTCAAATAATCAATCCGGACATATATAGAGACAACTAAGCATTCTCATTCTCAGCAATCCAAAACAGATAAGCCCCAAAAGGGAAGTGCTTATTGCTTAACAAACAGAGTTTTTTCATCCATCATGACATGTAAATTGTATACATTTTAAATCAGAATGCACATAGGCATCATCTTACAAATTTGCAAGCAAAATCCAGAAAATAAACCACTCAATAAAAATAAAAATAAAAATAAAATGTTAGGACCTCTTTGATTAAGAAGTTCAGTTATCTAAAATCAGTTTTTAAGTCAACTTAAAAAGATTTTATGGTTCTGTTTTAAAATAACAATTTTCAGAAAACTGGCAACCACAAAATATGGTTATACACAAAACCATGTACAGTTCCTATTAAATATACTTCAAACCCTGTAATTCTTCAAATGAACTAAGGCAATGGGTAATTCCTTAGGGTTCCAAGAATACTGTATTCATTTGATTATTGATAAAATTGAAATAAACCCAGAATACAATAGATAAAATTCTATGTAGGAGAGACAAAAATCAACCTTGATATGGTAATGCTTGATATTTGGGGGTTTATTATCTTCGCTTGGACGGCCAGATGATTTTGGTGTTGACCCGTTCGAGGTAGAGGAAAGACTGTTGGTGGTGGTGGCGACACAGTTGATGGCGGCTCTCCACTCGGCGTCTCCGTCTTCCTCTCCACTGCTGCTGCTGCTACAGCTAGTGCTGCGACCATCAGCGCCGCCCATCTTGAGGTGGACCAGCTAAACTTTCTCACACGACGTTTGGAACGGATTTTGAATTGAAAAAAAAAACAATAATAATCTGATTTAAAATGTGTTAGACCATACAACATGTAAATATGTGAGATTTAATTCATTTAATTAAATCTTTAAAATGATAGGATTTTTTTCTTATTATTTTTATTCATGGTGCAAATACCAAATTCAAGTAAATTAATGATGTAATTATTAAGATGAAATGAAATAAAAATTTTAAAATAATTATTAAATAAATCGTGTTATAACACACTTATAAAAAATCATTTAATAATAAACAATTATATACATGTCCAGAGTTATTGAAATCAATAATAAAGCGTGGAGTTTTAGTTGGACAAGGTGGAGCCAAAAATAAGATTTTGACCAAATTAGTAATATAAAATTTAAAAATAAATAATTGTAATATTTTTTAAGATGCATGTTTATAAATGATATAAATAGAATATTAATAAATTTTAGGATTAATTTCACTTACACCCTTTAAATTTAGTTAAATATTACTTTCAAATATCTTTTAAAAATAATTATCACTTAGGTTCATTTTTATTTTTTTCAAATAAAATTTCATTAAAAATATAAAAAAATAAAACTTTGTTCCTAATTTTTTAATCCTATTTATTCAAAAATATCATGTTCCTATTTATTCAAAAATATCATGTTAGTTAAATTACCAGTTTATATATATAACAATCGCATACGACGGCGGAGACATTGGTTAGGCACAGAGGTGATGACGGTGAAGGCATCGAGATCAGTTGGGCACTGTAGCGATGGCCATACCAGAGATTACGGGAGGTCGCCTAACGGTGGTGGGTTGGTGGGAAAGATGACGTTGAACCAGAGATTGCGGGTGGAGTCACGAGACCAGGCACTACGGCGATACTTTTTTGGAATTGGAGGACTTTGAATAAGGTCTGCTCATGCATGGGGTCTATCTAGAGTGATTACTTGTGATGTCATCAATAGGGCTGCTGAGAATCTGACCTTCAAATTGAACAAGACAACATATCCACTCCATGGACCAAGACTGCCCCTCACCCATATGTGTTCTAGCTCCTTATCTCTCTAACTATTAGGGAATGGTACAGCAAAAAGAAAGACTTTGACTGGTTCTCCCCATCCTTGGCCACATCAATCAGTAATTTTGGGACCTTCGTGAGTTCGCGTGATTGCCGCTTTGTCAGTCGGGTCTCAAAAGACAAAAGACATTGATGAACCAGCAATCAAGGTTTTGTTATAAAAAAGTTGCATATATATATATTGTTTTAGGAATATTTTATCTTTTTATTTGGTTCTGTAGGCAAAAGAGTTGTTTTTATAAAGTCAAAGGATATTTAAATCATTTTACATTATGTTATAATTGTGCAAGTGATTGTTGGGATGAATAAAAAATGAAATAAAAATTTGTAATGTGAGTGATAATTATTTTTAAAAGATATTTAAAAGTGATATTTGACGAAACTTTAAAAAGTGTAAGTGAAATTAATTCTAAGTTTTAACAATGGTTACAATAATAATTTGTCTTGCAAACTAATTTGGGAATTACTATTAATAACTATCAATGTATACCGTATATAGGGGTTTGAGAAAAGGGGGGCATGGCCTCCCTCCCTTCGCCCCAGTAGTGGATGGACACGGATGATACATACTTTGTGAATGACATGTCTTAAATAAATCATTACCCTTACACGGTTCAGTTTAAAAAAAATTTGGAATCAAATTAATTCTAACAAATTTGTAAAATTTGAAATCAAACCGAATCATTTAACGAAAGAAACTAAATCAAATCAAATCATAAAAAAATGGATCGGTTCGGTTCTACAATTCCCTATATTTTTTTTTCCTTTCTTGTTATAGAAATATTCATATTTCAAAATTCACATGCACAATAATAAACCAAGTTACCAGCACATTCAGAACTATTAATATATTCAAAACTTTTAATTCATTCTTCTCTATCACTTCTGGAACTAAAATGAATAAATTCAAAATTACTAATAAATTAATACACTTACAACTGAACTGAATAAATTCAGAATTGTTACAAACTTCTAAGTGAATTGAATTGTAGGATTATATTATATTATATATACCTTATAAATTAACACACACACTAACACACCCTAACCCAATTTACACTATTTAATAAATTGAACAAATTGGAATGCATCTAACCATCTGCATTAACCTCATTCAACCATAACATCATCCTACATCAGAGTACCTGTTTAATAGTTTACTACAAAATATAAGCCTATTATGCAAATTCTGACAACTAGAACATTAACAACAAGTCACACTATTAAATTATACTACAACATTTACATCTTAAACAAAAGACGTTACATTGTTCTTTTCTCCATTCCCACTCTAAAATCTAGACCTAGCAGTAGCAACCCAACCTTATACCTGAAAATATAGATATGGAAGGAGTAAGCTTTAAGCCCAGTGAATACAACACTACTACATCAAAGTAATATAAACAAATATTATCTGATAATTTCAATTTAACTCCATAGCATAAAACTTTCAGCTTTACAGACATTTAAAATATAGTACTCTCTTTCTAGGCCAGAATTTGGACCGTATTTAGATATAATACTCTCTTTCTTGGCTAGAGTATGTACCTTATTTAATGTAGTACTCTCCTTTCAGGCCAGAGTATGGACCTTATATAATATATTACTTTCTTTCCAGACCAAAGTATGGACCTTATATCACACAATCAAATTATATATATATGCATCTTCATATCACATAAACAACTTCAATACTTAAATTTAACATTTCAAGTGTAAAACTTCCAGTGAGTACATTCACCTTGGTTACTTCCCAAATTATTTATTTTTCCCCTGGAAATGTCGAAGTTGTCAAGTCCTTCTCATTGCCTATACAACATTATAACCATGTCATATATATTTCTGGAAAGATTTAAATAATAAATCACAATTTTCATTTAAAACCATGACCACAACCATTTATGTGAAATTTCAACTCCACCATTCCAATTAACAACTATTTTCACTCAAATTATTCAAGTGAGATAACAAAATACAAATAACTACAATATATACACAATCAATCAACCCACTTATCCGTAGATAAAAAGAAATAAAAATATCCAATAAGGATAAAATAAATAAATAAATAAAATTCACCTCCAGTACCTCTGTACCAAAAATCACATACCCATTTTTCTTTCCTATTCTTCTACTTCTCTCTCCTTCAATCTCCTTTCTCATTTGATTTCTATAATCTCAGATTACTAACCATATATATATATATATATATATATATATATATATATATCAATTTCACCTTAACAATTTCAACTACTTCATAGTTCCTTCCATTTTAGAGAACTTCATACACCTTGACAAACTACTTCATAATTCCTTCCATTTTAAACAATTGGAATACTTGACTCTATCTAATGAAATAAATAGAAATCCACAAGATTAATACAAAACTCGTGAACCAAATTATTCATGGTAAGTTTAAACTTCAATGTAGAAATTTAGAAAAACAACAAAAATATAAAAGATAAAATCCTTACTTGTAGAGTATTTCTTTTCCTTTTCTAAACTTTCATATACTTTTTTTTCTTCTCCAGCTGAAAACAAAAACCCCTTCTCTCTTTCTATTTTATTTATTTTCTTTTTCCTTTTCAATTGCAGTGTATAAAATATTTAAAACTTTTCAAGAAGCCTCTTATGTTCCTGTTGAGGCTGAGGTGGAACAACCTATTCAGGGTGGTATGAGAGAAAACAGGAATACTTAATTGGTATGCAGAAAATGGAGAAGGCTATAAGCCGAACAAAACAAACAGTTTATGGCAAGTCAAATGATGATACAAGAAAGGCTGGAAAGACAACAGAAAGGAAAGAAAGGCTCAAATTATGAGAGGTTTATCAAGTTAACACCCCCAGAATTTTCAGGTACTACCAAACCAGAAGAAACAGAGGGGTGGGTAAGAAGAATGGAATCGATATGTGCAGTGATGGGTGCAACAGAAGATCAGAAGGTAAACTTAGCTACATTTATGTTCAAAAATGAAGCTAGTTATTGGTGGGACACGACAAAACATTTATTGCTCATTCTAGGAGAGAAAGAGGTGATATTATGGAATCCATTTGTTAAAACTTTTTATGAGAAATATTTTCCTCCAATTTACAGAAAAGAAAAGGAACGGGAGTTTATTCTCCTAAAACAAGATAGAATGTCTGTAGTTGATTATGAAGTTAAGTTTAAAGCTTTATTGAGGTTTACACCCAAGTTTATATAGAATGAAGAAGATAAATGTACAAAATTTCAGAATGGTTTAGAGGTGGCTATTAAGTCCAGAGTTTCAGTGTTTGAGGAAACAGATTACAACAGACTTGTGAATAAAGCCATGATTGCTGAAAGGGATGTGAAAGAATTGCAAGAAAGAAGGGAACAATACAAAAGAAATAGATCTGAGCCATCACAATCAAGAGGAGTAGAAAGAATTTCAAGTCAGAAAAGTCAAAGGTCGCGGTATGAAAGGGGAAGGGGTAGTGAATCTCAAGGGCAGACGTCAAGTATTGGAAGAGGTCAAGGGTTTTCCGAACAACTATCTGCATGACAAGGTAGCTTTGGAGGACGTGGTACTAGCAGGGGGTGTTTTCAGTGCGGAAGAGAAGGCCACCAGAAGAAGGATTGTCCTGTGTTAAAAGCAGAAGAGTGCTATCATTGCCACCAACCGGGTCATCGGAAAAGAGATTGTCCTATGTTGCCAGGAGTGACTTCAGTGGGTAGTGTTGCCGGCTCTGGTAGAAGTTTTGCACAGGGGAGCTCGTCAAGAGGAGGAAGGGGTGCTACAAGTGGTCTGCAAGCCCAGGGAAGAGTGTTTGCTATGACACTTCAGGATACCCAAGCAACATCAGAAGTGGTGACAGGTACACTTTCTATTTTGAATAAAAATGTTACGGTGTTTATTGATCCTGGCTCAACTCATTCATTTGTTGCATCATCTATTGCTATGTATTTGGGTAAACCACTTTCATCATTAGATAGTAAATTGT